ATGAAATGCCTAAATTAAACTTAAAAAAATGCAAGTTTAAGTCTTAACCAAGATACTGTGCTATACTTCACAAAGTAATTTATATATTCATGCTCCCTTAGAATTTTGCTTCATATCCTGCCTAATTTATCATTGTGTTTTTCTAAATTTATTAATTAGGGTATAAACCATGGTCCTCCACAAGAAGTACAGTCATCTTACATATATATACTTACATGCTTCCTTTGTTCTGTGTGATGGTCAGTTACATATGGCTACAAGAGGAGACACAGGAGAGACTCAGGAAAACAAAGTTTATTATAATAACAGGATCTAGGAAATAGGGAAGCCACGCTATGCCATCCAGGGCTACATGGGCAAGCAACAGTGTAGGTCAGCAAGCAGAAGGGATCGAAGTGAGGCAAAAGTCAAATCTAAGGGAAACAGTTAACCTCAATAAAAGCATCTTTGTTTCCAGAAATAAAGGAATTATAAATGTATGGGTAATATATATTTGGCCACTTGAAAAAAAATTCTAGAATGCGTTTTTGGTTTTTTTAATCCCATGGGATCCAGAACTCCTGACAGATTCTTCTATGCAAATTTGAAAGATTGATTTTAATTAGATATGGAAGCTGAATAGATAATATTTAGAGTTATTAATATATATGTTTAAAGCATGTTCTCAGTATCTAAAATGATGCAATGTGACCACACAAAGTAGAGTTGTTTTTTTACTTGGATTTGATTTATAGTCAAGTTTTCAAAAAAAAATTAGAGTATTATATTTCAAAATATGGGACTAATGTATTTTTTACTTATAATCTGTGGAATTACTATCCTTAATATATAGTCATTTATACATTTTATACACTTTGAAACACATCTAATGATTTTATATGGGTAAAAGCTACCATCTAAGAATATCTTTCTATTATGGTTTGGCTTTCAGTATAATGTCTAGAGACCTAATGTGAATTTTATTTAGTGTAATCACTTCAGTAGTGCAGAATATTCATCATATGTTAAATACTCTACAAACTTGATACCCTGATTATAGAGTTGGATGATTAGCAGGAATAAATAAAAGCTCTCAGTTTTATCTTCACAAAAACTTAACTGTTAATGTTCCTTTGATATTAGTAAGAACGTGAAAAATGTAAATCGATGTTTTAAGTTAAAGGCCAGTGAACATACCTTCTGATAATTTGTCATGGACCTTTTCATGTTATCAGAAGTACTATGTAATTATGTGGTAAAATCAGAAGACGCTAAAATGAAAATGAGTTCTAAGGAAGTTTATTCCTGACTAAAATACTTAAATATAGAAATAATCAGGTTTAGCTGAAAAGTACAGATGAAACAAAAAGTATAAGGGGATTTTGTACACATTGAATTGCTGGCTTAGAGTTTTGGAGTTTAATCTGGAAATCTGTAAAGGGAAAGATGTTATTGCTTAAAGATCGTATACTGAGGAATATTGTGTAAAATTATACAAAAAGCTGAATTCAAAAGAAAGAGGAAAAGAGCCATGAAACCTGAAAGGAATCAGTTATTTAAAAAATTAGCAGAGGTAGGATAGTCATAGAAGTTCGAAGATTAGAAGTATTTTAACAATCATCTGTTACCTTATTTGCTAGGTTAGGAAAAGGAGTCCAATGAGTAAGAGAAATATAAAAGTTGAATGCTCTAAATCATACTCCGTTTGTCTTGAGTTCTTGAACTCACGTATTTCTCCATCTTGAAGGAAATTTTTTGTATCAATTCTTAGCTTTCTTCTTAATCATTCTCTCTCCTCAAGGCCTTTTGATTTTGCCTAAAAATAAATAATTGTCCAGTAATCCTTATTTTAGTAACTTTTCTCTCCATTTTGCTGCCCCCATGAGTTTACTATTTCTTTCTTAATCTTCAATAGCAAATTTCTCCAAAATGTTATCTGTCTTCATAGCTTCTACTTCTTCCCATTAAATTCTCTTGTTGACTCCGTGGAAACTAACAAATCTCTATTTCAATAGCCCCTGTCTTAAAGGTCAGTTGTGCCTTCAGGCCTCCTTCTGCAGCCCTACTTAAATATTACTACTGATTAATTCTTTGCATCATTTTGATCACCTCAACATTCTTAAACTTTGTTCTTCTGTCTTCTGTGGAAATTATTTTCTTCTTTCGTTCTTCTGTTCCCCTCAGTCACTCCTCTTCTTCCTCCCCTTTAAATGTTAAGTATTCTTCAGAATACCTTCTCAACCCTTTTCATTCTTTCTCTTTACACTCTTGGCTTGCCTGCTTCAGCCACCTCCTAACTGAATCTATCCTCCCCTGTTCAACAAATATTTACTGACTCTGTCTTTTTAGCCCTGACCATTCCCTTGAACATTTGGCCTAAGTATCCAGCTTCCTCCTACTGAAACTCTCCATCAAGAAATTCCAGTGGTTCCAGTGTTGATTATTTCCTAACCAGCACTACTCAGGCAATTGCTGTGATCTATAAGGGCTTCGGTTTCCTCTTCTATAACAATTGTGAGGACAACAGGAATTAATTCATTTAAAGCAACTAGAATAGCATCTGGCATGTAGTAAATGCTTACTAATTTGAGCTATTATTATTTCTTTATTGCCAGAACCAGCTACTAAGCTGCTTACTAATTCGAGCTATTATTATTTTCTTATTGCCAGAACCAGCTACTAACCTGTATAGACGGTTCCTTCCAAGTAACTTTTACATGAATCTTTGCTTTCTATTAGCTCCACATTTTAGGGAAGGAATAGTATTTAAGACAGAGAAAGATTTTAATCAGGGGAACTTTAGACAAAAGCAGAATCTGTTCTTCCCTTTCCCCCACCCAAGGAATATGCCAGAATTGAAGAAAATGGCACTTTAAAATACAGACATCTGCCCAGTCATTGGCAACTGGTACAATCAGGTATGAGTTCTCATAGTGAAAGGTATCCACTTTGCTCTTGGCACTTGCCTCTGGGAACACAACAATGGGAGAGAAAAGGAATTAAGGCTTCCAAGGTGCCACAATGTTTGGGAGTTCGGCCATGTCCCTGGGTTTTTCCTGCTCTACCATTATTACTATTGTCTTCTAACTTCAGAGCCTAGAGACCTTTTCTAGCACCACTTCCTATCTCAAGATTTTATAAATCTTTCCACTCCTGGAATTGATACCCTGATTATAGAGTTGGATGATTAGCAGGAATAATCATATGTCCTATCCTCAAGTGTCTTTTCTGTTCTCATGCGGCAATTCTCATTCTCCATTGTAGTACCTGCTGGAGCCTCTATATTTCTAGGCACAAAATTCTAAATCACCTTTGCCTCTAATTCTTTGAGTAAGTTCTTTCCTAACCACTTTTCTGGCTCTCAATAGAATGAAATATTTGTGTTGAAATGACTATATGTTTTATTTACAGTGTTACTCTTATGCCCATTGAAATATTTATCTGTAAACTGACTTATCGGTTCCAGTTAGTTTTTTATTGTATGCTGCTTGATTTTGGCCAAATTCTTTATAGTTTTTATATCCAGCCATGAAAATTAAAATACAAATATCACAAGAATAATAAGCAATATTTTGTATATCTTTGATACATAGGTACCTTCATTGATAGGTAATAGACACAGTGACTCTTTTAGAAAAGTGTATGTTTAGGGTAAAAATTCCTATGTAACAGAAGCACTAGATTACTGGGACTATGGAATATGTTATTATTTTCACAGCCTTAGTTTCAACCAAACTTTGACTTTTCTAGTCACACTTTTTCTGATGACAGCATACTATGAAAATCATATATTGCACTTCTGTGTTTATTTGTCCAGAATACATGCAATAAATGATATCCAGGGGAGCAAAGCATTTAATAAAGGGGACCCTAGATATGGCAGGTCAAAATGAGGACAAAAAAGTGTTTAGGAAGACTAAGAAATACAATTAGAGATAAGAGCTCACCTTAATAGGTCAGTTTTCTAATTCTCATCCTTTAAATGATGTATGTTTCTGCTATTCCTTGGTTTTCATTGTTTTTCTTTATTTCTGTAGTTATGTTATACACTGACGTTACCAGACTAAATTAGAGCAGAAACTATGACTCTCTAACACTGAGTCAAAAATTGACATGTAAATAAGTCTTCCCATTCTTGCAAAGCAGGCTTTTTTCTTCATACTCTTCAGAAGTTTATGGGGCCAGCTGGGTAGCTCGCTTCCAGATTCTTCAACCCCTACGCCAGTCATCACAGAGAGCCCAGCGTCCTTTCCTGAATTACTCCCACTGGCAATGTTAGTCTAGTAGTAGATTGTCAATGAGCTCATTTGCTTCATTGGCTCAGTGATGGCTTTCTGACCACATTGTTGAGAAAACTGATGATTTTTTTCTTTCACATGAATACAAGAGGGAAATTTTTCTTTATTTTTGGAACATAGACATATCAGGAAATGAAATTATGTAAAGTGAAATAAATTATTTTTAATTCATAGCTCATGGAAACATCAATCCCTGTTAGAAAATTCAACCATCATTAAATAAGCCTTATGAGGTTTTCCATAAAATGAGAAAACTTGTTTTAAAGGGCCACTCTTAGCAGTGGATGCTGTAATTTTTGACATTTTTGCAAAATTCCCCCACTCATTTAATTTCTTTTTGAAGATGATAGTAAGGCAAATTAGAGAAGAATGCTTTTGGAAACTTCTTCCTTATGTTGTATGGCTGCCTGAAAACATATTTTTACTGGCAAGGCAGCCTGTTCTCTCAAATGAGCCTGCTAATCTTTTGTGAATTTTTTTTTCCATGTGGCTGTGCAAACCAGTATCTTCTTTGACAGCAGTAATGAAATCATAAGTCTGATTTTACATAGTTGCATTAGGTTGGCCCTGAATAGTAAAGCCTATCCAAGAACATGGTATTGGACAACGTAAAAATGTGTCCCATAAATGATAAAATTTATACTCCATATGTTTCATCTAAAGTACATTTTCTCTTTTCCTTTTTACTCGTGTCCTCACTTTTAATGATCCATCGGCCTGCAGTGTCTTTACATCCAAAATGCAAAGCAGACAAATGGGCATCTCAGGGAAGAACATGACTAAAAGCAGCAGCATCAGTGGAGACATGTGCTCGCTGGAGAAGAATGACGGCAGCCAGTCTGACACTGCAGTGGGCGCCTTGGCCACCGGCAGCAAAAAGCGGCGCTCTAGCATCGGGGCCAAAATGGTAGCTATTGTTGGACTCTCCCGGAAAAGTCGCAGCGCCTCGCAGCTCAGCCAAACGGGTAGGCATTTTTATGTTACTTTTAACTTCATATTTGAGCTTTAATGAAAAAAAGTTTTACATTAACATTTAAGATAATTTAAAAATACATATTCTTTCCTTTTACTTATTTGATTACAGTAATATGTGGAAGATGACATGTTCCAGAGGAAAGGGGCATCTTAAGCTAGTTACTTTTTCTGAAAATAAAACAGGTACTTTGTTTTCCAGAAGTGAATGAACCTGCTTCAAAGTGACCCTTGATTACTGTTTTTGAAATGCATGTATGTCTCCTCCTTAGGGAGGAGTTAAGCGATGGTCCCTGATTGCCAGTTATTGGTCCTTTGTAAAGTACTCTGATCTCTGAGATATTTGCTTTTCTTTAGGTTCCTCAAGTTGGAACAAGCCAAATTAATTTTCATTCCCAGCAAGTTACCAAGATGAAGATGACATCTCATATTTTGTGTGACTAATTTAGTTCTTTTATTGCTGACATCCTAACTTCTTTTTCAGTTTGTAAGCAGCATTTGCCAGTAGTATCAATTTACTCACTGAAGTTTTTATTCCCCTGTTAAAATCTCAAGCAGCAATATTCTTCAGCAGCAGGGATGGAGAAATTTTCTGCTGACAAGTGAAGATGTTCAAAGCTTTCCTACTTTAAAATTCAGTTTCTAAGTCACATCTGCAAAAATAAATTAGATACAGCACTCCCACTCAGAAAAGCCACTGTTAGTAATTAAGAAATTTGTGAGTCAAAGCAATGCCTTTTCAAATGGGTGTTGATAATTAAACATTAAATCCTGGTATTTTGGAAACAATAGCAGATCTTCTACTTAACAAACAAAAGCTTGTAATATGGTGTTTCTTTCACAGCAAATAAATTATAGGCAAATGGATTAAGTCTCATTGATGCTTGAATAATAGGATTCTTGTACACAGAAATCAGGACACAAATCTGCAACGTGAAAGAATTTAAGGATGCATTAATTCCTGGACCCGGCTAATCTTGATTTTATAAACTATAACAGTGATTCTGCAATTTGAGCCTTATGTACTAATATTATATGAAACTAGTTACTTGGTGGTATTCTTTATACCTTGGTTGTAACTCACTATATTTAATATAACTATTGTCACAGGAATTTTTCATTTGGTCTTTAAAAATGTTTTGCATTTTAATATAGAAATAAAATTTTAATTTATGGACACATAGAGACCATAGTTAAATGATTTTTTTAATTGCTAATATTTATATGTAATTAGCTGCATTGGGATAATATGATAGATGCTGGGTTGAGAGTTTTTTAATATATCTCTAGCAGTTAGAATTTTATTTATTGCATTTTTCTCTTTAATACTTGGAAGTATCTATAAACTTTACTGATCTAGAAATAAAGTCTATCAATTAAAACTAAGAATGTAAACAGATATTAATAAGATTATTATCTTATTAATTCTGTAAAAAGTTAAGGAGTATGTGGTGTTAAGCTAAATAATTCCATTCATTCAGGGTTTTTTGCTAAATATTGAGTACTATGTACTATGCACATGGAGAATAAAGATGAGTAAGAACTCACTTATAATCTGATTTGCTTATAATCTAATAGAAAATAGAAACTTCTGTATGTTAATGATAAAACTAGAATTACTTAGAATGTGTGTTGGGGTGCTCAGAGGAAGACCAGCTGGGATGAATACCTGATTTGAGGCTTGAAGTGATTGCTAACCAAGTAAAGGGAATTAGAAAGGTGTCCCAGACAGAAAGCATGATGAAAAAAGACACAGAAGCACCATATGTATAAGAATGATAGGCAATTAGGTATAATTTTAACATAAAATGTTGGACTGAATGTGGCTTGAGATCAGGCTGATAGATAAATAGAGAACAAAGCATCAAGAGTCCTGTAGATCATACTAATTTACAGGTGATAGGAAGTTTTAAAAGGTTTTCAGTAGTATGGTCATATTTGCGTAATGTATAATTTATAGGCAATTCAGGCCGCCATTTATTTATCTAACAAGTATTTTTTGAGCATCTACCATATGCCAGGGACTACCCTAAAGAAAACATGAACAAGAGAGATACTGCTCTCGGCACTTAGACTCTAGTAGGGCTGCAATATACAGTAAACTTAGATCAGCATCTGGTAAAGAGTATTTTAGAATGAATGTACAATGATTCAGACAAGTAGTATGATAATTCAGAACAAGAGATATGATCCTGAATTAAATCAGTTGTTCAGGGAATTTTTAAAAAACAGTTAGTAGTCACTCACCTGATTTAATGACTGGTTGGATATGCGGAGGTGAAGGAGAGAGGTTCCAAGAGAATTCCCGTGTTCCTGGCTTGCATCCCTGGGTTGATGGCATAGTGCTGTTAATGGATATTGGAAGTCTGAAAGAAGGCGTAGGTAGGGGGAAGAGGGAGAGGATGTGTCCTTCAGTTTAGGACATTTCAAATTTGAGCTATCTATGGGACATTCTGGTAGAAATGGCTGGAACCTATTTAAATAAGCAACTTCTGAAGTTGGTATCAGAACCAGGGACATAAATCTGGGAGTTGTTAAGTTTAGATGATGCTTAAAACTATAAACATGGCTGAGATTGCTCAAGGAGAACACAAGAGACAAAAGAGCAGTAGGCCAAGACAATGCCCCGTGGAAGTTAGCATTTTAGAACTGGGAGGAAGAAGAGATTGCTAAGGAGGCTAAGAGAACATGAAGCAAGGACAGAAACTATGAGAGAGTGTCACAGGCACTGAGCATGTGAAGGATCTCGGGAAGAGAATGTTCAGTATTTCTCAGTGGTCAAGTTCATATTTTTACAGTTTTGATATAAATATCCCATATATCTATTTTTTAAATAATATTCTTATTTAAAAATATAAGTTGACCATACACTGAGATTCTGTAACAACATATATATATATGGAAAAAATCAAGTATTTCTTTTTGCTGTTGTCTTCATTCAGTAACACTGTAATGGTCAAAATTTTAATTGTTCTTAAATGTGCAATTTTTCCACCTACCCACCAATAGCTTTGACTTACAATAGAATTCAGAGTATCTGTCATTTTAAAGCCCAAGTTTAGCTTTAGAATAGCCAACAGAGATTGTTTTCCATTACTGTACTCCAAAATTTAAATGGGTTTCTAAGTTCCATATTTGTGTGTATACATATATGTGTTTCAAAGTAAGGACTTTGTTTTCTTTTCTTAAGAAAAAAATGCCATCACAAGCTCCAACAGTATTTAAAACTAAAATCTTCAAATTTAATATCTAAACTATTTGATCATATGATATCATTATCTAAAGTAATTATTTTTATGATGTTGGATCTTACAATAGATCCTTTTTTTAGGCATAAGATGTGTTGCCTAACTACCCAAAACCAAGATATATTTTCAACTAGAAAGTTTGCATTTTCAAAGACTCATTTAATATTGTCTTGATTTTCCTGGCCCCTATGGAAATCTGCATGTAATTAAGTTACAGAGTTATCATTTAATGAATGTGTACCATAATGTTTTCAATTTTTTAAGGTGATATTTATCATTATAAATATAAATATCATTTTACTACTGTGGATTTCAAGATCAGACAAGACAGTTTACTTGTCTTCTGAGGGTAGAAAACTCAACAAAATGGGATCTTTTAAGGAACAGTGAAATTACTCTGGATGACAATAATTGGCAAATGGGGACTGTTTTTGAAGGTATGTTGGCAAGTACACATAGCAGCTGAGTCATGTCTCTCTCCTGATGCTGGGCTTTTTGTATGCTCCTTCGCCTGTTCATGAAACCCACATTTCTAAAGATCCCAGCTCTGGGATACGCTAACATTTAGAAATCAGGAAAAGAATCCATCAAAGGAGACTTAAAAAAGAGCTGTTGTTAAAAGAAAAAGAAAGAGAAAAAAAGAATATAATATGGAAACCAAATAAAATATTTTAAGAAAGATGATCAGTTGTGTCAAGTGCTTCTCCAAAGTCTGGTAAGATGAAGACTGACAATTGATCATTGGATTTAGCAAGATGGAGGAATTTGTTAAACCTTGACAAACCTTGCAGTGGTGGGCAAAGCCTGATTGGAGCTGGTTAAAAAAAAATGGGTGGTGAAATAGAGTCAATGAGAATAATTTCAAGGACAAATATAAGAACACCTAATACTTAGCATTCTTATATGCTAGGTACTATTCTAAGCACTTTACATGTCATTCATTTAAACTTCACAACAATGTTATGAAGCAGGAATTAATTACAATTTTCCTTGTTTTACAGATAAGGAAACTAAAGTAAGCAGAGGGGGGATATCTTCCCCAGGTTTACTCACTTAGTAAGAGTAGAAATTGGGATTTGATTCCAGGCAGTATAGTTTTGGAGACTTCCCTCTTAGTCTAGGTTAGCCCTGTGACTTCAGCAATGGCGGCAGTGTTCTCCATCTGTGCTATCCAAAACAACGTGATACCACTAGCCATGTGCAGCTGCTGAGCACTTGAAATGTGACTAGTGTGACTGAGTAATGGAATTTTTTGGTTTTTTTTACATTTTAATTTTATTGATTTAAATTTAAATAGAAGCATGTGACAGAACAGATGAAAACAACTCTTTCTAGGGTTTTCAATAGAAAGGAAATATAGAAATGGGACCATAGCTTGGGGGAGATGGAGTCAAAAAGTTTTGTTATTTTAATGAGATAGAGAATCCTTGTGGGAACAACTGAGTAGGTGAAAAAGCTTTGGATTCAGAGCCCAAGTGGGTATCAACTGTTATGACCTAAGTCACTCATGAAATCTATGCCCTTTTCATCTTGTAATAATTTCTAAGCTCACACGGTATTTTATATTTACTCTGTTGATAACACTTAGGAGCTGTAGTCATTTATTTATCTGTCCATCTCCTGACTAGCCTGTTTTTCTTATAATATATATGTTTCTTGGTGTCTGGTATAGTTTCCAATATAGTGATCTGCAGTGTAGGGCATATGTACTCCTTGGGGTGCATAATCAAGTTCTCTGAGGAATG